TTTTGTTGTAAAGGCCTCTCATAAGCTTAGGAAATGAATTAAAAATGAACCAACTTATTTTGTCCTGACTTCTTCAAAATTTTAATGTTGTGAATTTATTCCTTCTCTCAGAACAAATCACTCAGCAGCTTTTCTGGTTTGTCTTTGTATCTCTGAAGTAAAGCACATGATAAGACTGATTTCTCTGTGAGGGTCATAACTTTTAAGGACTGGGGATCAGAAGGGGCTTATTGTCACACCCTTCCAAAAAGGCTCTGAGATGACAACAAGAAATGGTTTTCTCATGAAAAGGAATGTCTATTCCTGAAACATTTAGGATGATATCATCCAGAAACCATAATGGTGAAATGTTTAATTCATTGTATTGTTGGTTCAGATATTACATCTACAAGATTTATTTTATTTTGTGCAGCAATATCTACACCAGGCTTCCAAATTACACGCTTCTGATTAGACTAAAAGGCAAGGGACAATTTTGTAAGCACAAGCAGAATAATTCCAAAGAAGAGGTTTTCAACTAAAGAAAGTATTAACTCTGATTAGGCAGCCACAGATATTATGCTAAACAAAGCACTTTTTGACTGTCCTGACCAAAAGGTCAGAGAAAAATTAACTATTTAAAAACCTCTAAAGGTAGGTATATTTCAGGCTTGGTCTAAGGGCAAGGAACAATGTGCAGATGTGTATGTTGCCTCTGACCCTATCATATTAATCTTGTGAACAAACCCCATGCAAGGTTGGAGTATGCAGGACCAGTCCTCTTCACAACACCACACTGATTAAAACTGGAGACTTAGAGCTGACACCAGTGGTGGTTGACAGAAACCCCACTTGCAATTTGGTAATCCCTAACTACCAGCTCTGCAATTGCAAAGGTGGTGATAGAGGTAAACCAAGTTGACTTTTTGATTTTTTTTACTACCATATCTTTAACACAGACTCCCAAAGCCATGTCAGAAACACTGTCAACCAGCCAGTTAGCTCTAGTTGACCATCATCGGATATTTAGAACATGATGCCAAAGATAACCTAGAATCTGCTGCTCTCTCATTATTAGCTGCAGATTTTGCAGAGAACATAGAAATAGAAATCCACGAATACATGTTTGATAACCAGACAATACACATGATTCTGAATGTTCATCTTTTTAGTGAGAGGGCATTACTTTTTTTCAAATTAAAAAAACTTAACCAAGTACATGGTAAGAAAAGAGTTTCAATTCTTAAGCTCCAATAAATTTTTCATTTTAATTTGAAAATGAGATTCTGAATCTGAAAATGCATTGAAAATAAAAGCTAATTTTCCTAGTGGGTAACAATACTGCATCTTGTACTTTTGTCATACAGAAGAAACAAAGCCAGTGTTACTTATTTAAACAAGCATTAAATAAGCATTAGAATTGTTTATCCTAAACTGATATGTGCTTACATTCTTTTGGGGGACATTTTTTTATTATTTATTAACTATAACACAGAGCATGGTATTTGACATGCTGGTTGGACATTCATCACACTCCTCCAAAATCACATTAGATACAAACACCAGATTTCAAAGACCAGATTCTCAGAAAATGTGGAACCTTACTCTGTAGGTGACAAGCCTTCCACTTGCATATACCTATACCTATACTGACTTCAATGGAGTGAAGATGAATTACAAAAACAAAAAAAAAATTACCTTTTTAATGCAACAATTATTTTTATAACACAGAACTCCCAAAGGATCCCTCAGCTACTCCTTTGCCAGACTTTTTACAGTTGACTTGTCTGAGCCTGTCTGAGTACTACCACTGACTTCTGCTTGACAGTAGTGCACACCTACAACTTCCACTTCAATTATGAAGAGAAATTGTTCCCATTTTACTCCCACTGAAAGACAGAAATTAGACTATCTACTTTTTAGAAGATACAATTTTATCAACACATTGCCACTTGGAGTAGTTTAAATAATTTTTATTTTCATCTTTTTTTTAGACCACTAAAACTAATGCAGCTTCAGGATGTTTAAACTGTCCATCAAAAAAGCGCACCAATGCTGGCATATATGTAACTGTGACTCTCAGCTGCTAAAACAAGAACCCATTGAGCTTCCATAACTGCATGATGACCCCTCAGTTCTGTTTCAAAGCCCATCTGGTAACAAATGCACATCCTTCTCACAAAACATAATGGGTGGTGTTAGCAGTGGCTATCTCTCAGGATCAGAAGCTCCAATACAGTTGCCTATAGATCTCTCAACACTTTTCACCACTGAGGTCTTTTGGCTTTAGTTGCATTCCTTAAGCATTAGGAAGAACACTTGCTTTAACCTGTTTGTATTTTCAATTCTGCTTTGGTTCTTTCTTGCTGTCACAACAGCTCTGTAGCTTTCCATAATGCAATAAGCAATCTGCTTAACATAAGCTGCATGTAGTTTGTGCTGTCCCACCAACTTATGCTGTGAAAAACTGAAGCCAAAGACTTTTGAATTAATGAGCTCAGTTTCTTCCCCTTTCTAAGACTGTTTGCATGTGCCTTAAAAGAAAGACTCCAAAAATGAGCACTTGCTAGCTCAAGCATGGCACAAAATCACAAACAGGGTGGCAAACCCAAACATCAATAGAAGTTCAGCCATTCTCATCAGGATTATGTCTCTTGCCACTGTCTCTTGTGGTATATTTGGCATACTTCTGTGAATCACATAGAATTTATCTTTATTAGGCGGGGTAGGAATGCCAAAGTGTGGTCTATATGGCAAAAGTTAGAAAGGACAGCTTTGACAAAACACAGAAACTTTGCAATAAACTTGTCTGCAAAGTACCTTTGGAGAGGATGCAAAGCTGCAGTGTCAAGGAGAACTCTCTTATGTTTTTCAAAGAAGATGGATGCTGTGTGGTTGTGCAACTGCTTTTAGGATGATGTTTTGCTGCCACAGGTTTTGAGACAGCTACTGCTATGTAAATCTTGCTCCTGTTCACTCATGTTCCCAGGTCAGACACTAACTGGCCTGATGACCTTGCAGAATCACTTATCTCTCTGTCTCTGTGGTTTCAGTGGAACTGTCACAGATGTGAATTAATGACTTTGAGACCTACCAAAGAAGAGGGCTGCACAACGATTTAAGTGCTGGGTTTATTCTAACAACGCACTTTCCTTCATTTTCTATTACTATAACACATAAGTGATACAATCACAGAGACTTTGTAATGCTTTGCAGATACTTTTGAGTTTGGAAAAGCAGCAGAGAATTCTGGTCAGAAGAATAAGGAATCCCAAGTTAAAGTGTAAAAGAAAAGGAACAATTAAAAAAAAAGACACATTTTAGAAAAGTGAAAGAAGAAATAATTATGGTTGTACCAAAGGACAGTTCAAAACATACCGCAGCAGTCTAAGAGTCCAAAGGGAATAGCAGAATATTATACTTTAGAAACTTTCTAGATTTATTCCAACAGTAGTATTTTAAACTTAGAACAGTCATTTTCTGAAGAGTGTCTAGAAAGGAGAGTATTCGCTGAAGATGTTAATTTGTGTGACATGAAGAAATCATACCGAAGAAAACCACAGTACAGTATCTTTAACCAAGAGCTAGTAAACAGACCGGAATTTAACCTTGTCATTCTATCTTAATTTTTCCTGTCACCATGCAAAGATTTTTCTTCCCACATTCTTATATGAACACAGTGTAAAATGACAGTCATGCTGTTGCAGCCACAAAGTTTAGCTGGGCTCAAGAAACTAAACTGTAGGTTTCTGAAGGGATTTTTTGTTTATTCCACTTTAAAGATATCATTAGTCAAGATTTTGTATCAAGACGACAGATGGTATTTCTTAAGCTTATATTTTGTTTTTAACGGTTATTTTAAACTTGTATCATTAACTTTTTCACACAACACCCCTGGGATGGATATATATTGAAACACGGCTTCACAGTGGAAGATCTAATACAGGGATGTGTTTTCCTAAAGCAGGTTTGGCGTGTGCAGCTCTGAGCGCATTTTAAGTGAACTTGCTTTCTCCTGCCAAAAGTGAAGAAAAGAATAATCTCTGCCAATTTCATATGCCCAGCAGTGACGTACCTTTGCAATCTCTCTCCTCAGCTCCAAATGAGAATATGTAAGTGTTTCAAAACAAGTGCACCCAATGCTCATCTACAGGACACTACCAGAAATTAGATTTAAAAAAAAAATTAAAAATTGCAAATGAGACTTGATTTGGTGGTTGTTTATGAACACAGAGGCCAAATGACAAGGAAGAGCTGGGCCTAGCCTTATAAAAAAAGCTTCCTGGGTAGACTGGCTGTCCCTTGACCATCAACTGAGAAGTCTCTCCAGTATGACCAAGTGCCAACACATGTCCAGGGGCTGCCTAGACCAAATTTCTGCTATGGGTCCATACGACAGCATGAAAAGTGATTGTGTTACGGGAAATGCTCCCAGGGACATGCCCCTACTTACTGGTATACTGCACGCAGCTTAAGGGGACCTTTGTAAGTCATCAGCAATTAAAACAGACACCTGGCAGGTAGGTCTGACAGCTAGCGGGCACTCAAGTCCCGCTGCCACGAAACCAGGCAGGCATTTCAGATGCCAGAATTGACTCATGTATCACTTCTGAAATTGAGACACGGGCTCCATGACCCTTCAAGGAACGAATTTCACACGTTTGTTTGCAAGGGCAGCAGAAAACATGGGAGTTGCAGGTGCAGACAGCACGGCAAGATAGTGACTAATTGCTCTGACCAGACTATTCTGCGTCCTACACCCCATCGTACAGCCCTACACTCCTCGTCGCGTAACACCCTCGAGCAACGCAGAGAGCCACATTCCCACACCACACACTGCACAGCACAGCACAGCACACCGTACACCCCAGGCACTACCGCGACTCGCATCGCCGTGCCTCCCCTCGATGCCGACACCTCGCCCTGCCACAGCGCACCCCGCACCGCTCGGGTGCGGCCCCGCCGCTCGCTCCTCTCAGCGCACGGCGCACCCCCCGCACCGCGGAGCCGCCCCGTCTCACCGCCGCCTGCTGGAAGGCGCCCTTGGTGTAGGTGCCGCCGCCGCGGTAGGCGATGGCGGGGATCTCTCGTCCCAGCAGGGCGCACTTGTGCTGCTGCGGCCGCCGCCGCGAGATGTAGTCCACGCGTGGCACCACGTTGCTGCGCGAGGAGAAGGTGACGATGGCGACACGCGTAGCCGCGGGCACCACGGGGAAGTCGGAGAGCAGCTTCTTGACGAAGCGCAGCTCGCTGAGGAAGTTGGCCGGACCCACGCTCGACGACTCGTCCACCAGGAACACCAGCTCCAGCCGTCCGCTGCGCGCCCGCAGGCGCCGCACCTGGCGCTTGAAGGCGCGCCCCAGCTTCTCCACTTTGCTCTCCGTCGTGTCGGGCAGCGGCGGCGCCTCCAGGGACGGCGACGCGAAAGTTGGGGCGCGGAAGAGGGCGCCCGGCTGGCCGCCCGGCCGGCCCTGCGGCGCCGATGGCGACAGGGACAGCGACAGTCCCCCCCAGCAGCAGAGAGCCACCAGGGGCCACATGGCGTGGCGGCGGGTGCCGGGAAACGCCGGCAGGCGCGGGAGAAGAGCTGCTGGTCGCCCCCTGACGCCCCACCTCTTCTCTACTCGGAGAGGCGTCCGGCCTGCCTCTCTGTCTCCCTGCCGGCCTCCCCGCCGGCCCCCGCAGGTATCCGCGCCCTTTAATCCCCCGCGGCTGAGGCGCTGCCCCTCGCACGCCCCTCTCTCCGTTTTCCCCTCCTCGCCTTTCGGTAGCCTTCTCCCCCGCCCCGTCCCTCCCCGCCTCCCGCCGCCCCGTCCCGCCCCGATGGGTCCCACACGGCTGGCGGGGGCCAGCCCGACAGCGGGGCGGGTGGCGGTCACTGGAAACGCGCCGAGCAGAAGCGAAGGCGGGCGGAAAGGCAGGACCCCCCGAAAAGTGAGGAGCGCCTTTTCCGCTCCCTCGCCGCGCGGGTTGGAGCTGCTACTCGCGGGGACGGAGTGAGGGCTTGCACTGACACGTGCTGAATTAATCGTGGTTAATTTAGCCCTTTGTTTTGCGGGGAGGATGCGCCTGCGTCTGGGAGGTTTGAAGGGTCCATATGCTCTGGTCTCGCTCCTGGCTCTGTCACAGTCTCCCTCTCTTGTTCAAGGGCACACTTCAGCCGCCTGAGGACTCAGCTTTTCAACTTTCAAGATGTAGCAATACTTCATTTATGTACATCTCACAGCAGTGACAGCGAGGTGTCCAGATAACGTGGGGTGAGTGTCCACAAGGGTGTGTGCATGAAGGACAGGGACAGCACTTGCATATGTACATCAACATGTGCTTGCAAACATATACACTGATGTAGCAACAGTGACAATAAACTGTGCGTGTTATGAAAATTCCTGGTTGCCAACTGTGACATTACTAGCCATTTCTCCGAAGAGGTCCTCTGCTGTCTTCCTGTCTGTGAGTCACTTAGGAGAGAGATACACTCTCAACGAGACCTCCTGGCAAATTCTGAACCCACTACCCTTCAATCAATCTCAATACAGATTTAATTCTCAAGAATATTATGAGATGAGAACTTGGGTTTGTTTTAGCGATTGATTTCAAATGGAACAGTTTTCTACTGTTTCTTAATCAACTGCATTTTCGGGAGTAACTTAGTCTCAGAAAAGTTCCCCTGGGACAGATTAGCCATGTAAACCTGTTGATTGCAACTTTTGGCCTTTTGTTGGAATTTTTCTTCTTTTACATATTTTCTACTCCTTCTCTTGAGTTTGCTTCTGTTGACATCACAACGTGATGGAATACACAGGTACATTGGTTCATTTGCAGGTTCAGCCCCACATTTACATTCACATTTGGTTGAATTATACATTCCTTACACATTGAGGTTTTTAGCTGATGGAAAATTGATCTGATACTGTCCTTTTGACTTCCCAGCAATACTCAAATTTCACTGCGAATGACAAGACACTAAGTAACAGAAAATGTTATTTAATTAGGGAAATGATGCATCTGATACACACATCCAACATGTTTTTACATGTTTTAGGTTTATGGAGTAATCCAAGTGCTTCACAAAAATCTGTTTCTTGAGTATACTTCTGCAACTCAGTGATTGAAGAGAAAATTGAAATCAGACACTTACAGAGGCATATGTGAAAAACAGTTCTGGTACCAAAGGATGTGCTATGTGATGGACTGATCAGTTTCTGTTCATGTTATAGTGAAAGAGACAACATCATACTTGGGCTACCATGAGACCTTTTCATCTTGAAAGGGTAGCTGAAAATTGCTACAACCACTGAAGTCCTCAGCAAGCTGATTTGCTCCATTGGTCTTTGGAAGATTAAAGAAATGATGCTCCAATTGCATCCACTGTGGTCATACCACACCACTAGTATACTTAGTCTTCTCATCTATATTTCACTAGGCTGTAAGACTGTGTTGGTCTTTGCACAAACCAGGATGAAAGAATGGAAAAGTATAGGCAAGATGAGTGGTTTCTCAGGGTGCTCCTAACCGAAGAGGATCATTGCAGTTACAGTGTTCTGCTATTACCCCTGAGTTTTCAGATCATAAAAAGTACTTTAGTCTGGGTTAGCTTGTTGGAAAGCTAACTGTCAGTTCCTCTGTTTCACCCATATTTACATATTCCCAGATTCATCTTTATAGATGCCACACATTTTAGGACTCAGAAGCAGAGGAAAAGAAGACATACTGAAAACACTTTTAGCAAAAGAAAAACAATTCATGTCAATGGCCCATTGCCAGTGTGCAATCAGGTATGACTAATGGTGAAAACACAGTAGTTAGAAATTAACAGTAGTTAATTTCAGTCTTGGTGATCTCATCAGAATTACGAATGCAAAAAAAAAAAACCCAGGGAGATTCTAAATTAATCCTTGATACATGTACAAATTTCAAACGCATGTATTTTCTTAAGTCATACAGGCCCTCCTGTCATGCTGCACAGAAATTCTTACTGGTTTAACAAAAATAAACGTGTACAGGGCTGCAGAGTGAACTCATCAATGCAAGATGTAAATATATCTATCACACAGGGAATTTGTAATAGTAGAGGGATAAAGAGGTGAACAGCTAAACTTTGACTATGGATGCAAGACTGAGACGTTAGCACTGTACTGATGTGAAACAAAATCCAGGAAAATGTAAATGGCAAGAGGAAATTTCAGTCCACGGATAATTAGTGTGCAAAAGGCTCTGAAAATAATCAGTAACTTGTATTTAGTGAATAATTATCCTAGATATTTTCCCTTGTATATAACACAAGTACAGCTCTTTACATTGAATGGTATTCAATCTATTTGTGCAGAGAGGAGACACTAAAGCATTACAAGACACTGAGAAGTTAGCATCAGCATCTGTAGTAAAGGAAAGCCAATGGTAGGAGGGAAAGAGTGAGGGCAGCCAAAGAATTCAAGTCTGCTCCTAATGTGATTTAATAAAACCCTAGAAAAATATCTGGAATAAACTGAAACTTAAAAGCTTGGACTCAGCATGCAAAATCCTCAAGAAAGTGTTTTATCCACGAGGGCTGTACTTGCAAAAGAAAAAGTTGTCTTGCAGATGGTGAAGGTCATGTATGTATGTGTAAGCAGCAAGCATTCTGTTCACTGTATGTTCACTAAGCTTTTCTGAAAGCAGCATTTTCAGGGGAAATCTCTGTTGTAATGAAATTGCCTTCTCCAAGCCTGCCTGCCAGCTTTTTACAAATCCTTTCCATGTTGGTGTGCTTAAGCCCTCTTCTTTTGATGGTCTTTTCCCTGTTGTATTCATGCATATTATTTGCTCTTTGGTTCATACTGATCTGTAGCAGATGGGGAGGTGGAGAGCAGAAGGAGTTTTTCCCACTTTAAGTGTCCCTGAAGGTCAAAATATCTGCCCTGGGCTTCATTACTTGAACAGAAAATGCAGGTTTAATGTGGCTTCTGATGACAGGGTTCTTAAGAAGGTGGTGCTGGACTATGACTCTATTCCATTACGAAACAGCAGGTAATAAAAAAAAAATTAGATCTTGTGAATAAACTGTCTTTGTCATGTGACAGAAGAGGGCTGACTGGCCCTGAAAAGGAAAGCTTAAGAGCACCACTTCAGCTGCTTTTACAATCACATTACTGTATCTCTTTAATTGTCTTATTAAAATCCACAGACTTGGTGAATTCCAGTAATTCTTTACTGTCTCCCCACAAGATAATATGGTCATTTAACACCACTCTGATTACTAAACAAAAGGGAAATCTTTACCCCCAGTTAAAAATCCTTCTGCAAACAAACAGTCTGAGGATTGCTGTCCTTTAGCCAAATAGGTTTTTGCTTGAATTACTCAATGAAACATGGCCAAGCATCTTTCCAAATATGGAGAAGAAAAGCATTGTGTTTCCCCCCCTTCATGTTCCCCCAAATACAGCTGGACAGAGCACATCCTTGTACTCAGCCCACACAGTATTTGTGCCTGCAGAGACAGCACCACAGTATCACATACCCTACAATTTTTGAAGGAATGCAAGTCATTTTTGTTTTTACAGTAAGGGTGTTCTGCTAGCAACTTTGTACCACAGTGGAAACCCAGCTGCAAATGAAATGTCTTCTGCAGGAATTTTACATTCTGAATTTTAGCTAAACTAGAGATAAAATGACAGGTTAAGACCAGAAATCAGAGCCTGATGTTAGTTAAGCTTGTTCTAAGACTCTCTTTGTGCTCAAGCACACAGCGTCCATCTGGGGAAACCTAACACAGTATGTAGCTAGCAGAGCTAGGCTTTCTTCCCCTTCAGCCTTTGCCAGGGTACAGGATTACTCTGTGCTGTCCACTTCCCCTTGCAGATGTCAGGGGAGTATTTCAGCAGGGGGTATTTAAGGAACTGTGTGAGGAGGAAAACTTTCAGGAACAGCATTTACAGAGTAGGGGTAGAAATACTTTCAATCTCTTTACATGAAAGCAGCAGAGCTGTTCTAGGAAAAGGGGAGAAAGAAAGGGCTTTGGAGAGTTCCTTCATCCTCTTTCTTCCTTCCTGTGCCTTTTAGGAGAAAGAACACATCCAGCTCCTGAGTGTGTCTTCTCCTCTTGGCTGAGAACCTTCACCTCCCAGTGCTGCAGTGCCTTACCTGCTTGCAGCTGCATTCATTGCCCCCAGACTGTAGCAAAGATCAAGCAAGACTGCAGTCTTGTTGCAAAGCAGGGTCTGCTCTTGGAAGCTCCCTATGTTAGAATGCATTGCTGGAACACACTGTCTCAGCACTTTCGGACAGTTAAAATTTAAAAATTTATTTTTAGTGGCAATAGTGAAAGGAGGAGAGCATTATACAGGATGCAATGTGCATTCAGTTCTGAGGAGCCAAAGTTAGGCTATCAAGATCTTAGTCATAAAATCTGAGAGGATTTTTTTGGCCATTTTAGGCCTCAGTTGTAAACAGAACATATGGAGGAAACAAAGAATTTTCTATAAATATAAGAGTATTCTCAAGAAGGAGGAATAAAAGGAGATCAAGCCCTTAAATTATCACACTTTTATCATTAAAAGTCGGG